TGGCGAGTGTAGGCTGCCAAGCCCGGCGGCGGCCCTGGGGAAGCGGGTGGTAGAGCCAAGAAGGGCACGGGCTTGAGGCCGATGAAGTTGGAGAGAGAGATGGCATAGGGTGTGCCCAGCAGGCCTGGGGGAGCCGTGGGCAGGGCTGTCAGGGGCGGCGAGAAGGGGGCGGGCAGGTCTGCAGGGGCTGAGCCAGGCGTCCCCCCAGAGGTAGACTTGGCCGTCTCTAGACTGGAGAGAGGGACACAGGGGACACGAAGGGGGAAGTGAGGGGGGCAGTGAGGGCAAATGTCGGGGACAAGATCGAACGACAGACAGGAGGGAGGAACTGCAGAAAGAACCATGACAGGGAGCGGCGTGTCTGGGGGGGGAGGCGGGGCAGGGAAGGGGGAGGGTGGGAAGACAGGGTGCGGAAACAGCACAGGGTGGAGGGAGAAACCAGAGGCCAAAGGCCCAGGGGAGAGAGAAGGCGATGGGGAAAGAAGATGTGAGAGAGCCATAGAGGGAGAAAACGGGACCGGCGTGAGAGGCGGGGGCGGGCCCAGACAGAGAAGGGAGGTCGGCTCTCCCCCCACCTCTCCTTTCTTGGGCACAAGAGCCCCGGGCTATGACCCCCACGCCCACCCCGCGCTCACCAGGCAGTGATGAGGTACTGGGCCAGGGCGATGGAGACCGGCGAGCCGGTGATGGTCACGTGCCGCTCGCCAGCGCCCTCCGCTTGGTTCCCGATCTTGATATGAGCCCCCGACATCTGCCGGATCTCACTGATCTTGCTTCCCTGGCGCCCGATCACGCAGCCAATCAACTAGGGGGAAGGCAGAATTCAACCCTGGGCAAGCCCCACAGCCCCAGGCCCCCTCCTCACCCTCCAGCGCCCGGTCCCCTGCTCACATCGTTGGGAACCAGGAACTCCTGAGAGCTGGTCTGTGTGCTGGGATCCAGTCCTGCTGGAGAAGAGGGGCACATGGTTCCTGGCCTCTCCTGCCTCTGCACCCACCCCGGGGGCTCTGCAAGAGGAGGCAGGGGCTGCCCACCTGGCACCACGCTGGGCGAGGCGAAGGGGACCGCGTGGCCTGAGAGCTGCTGGAGCTTGGTGACCTGTGCAAAGAAGAGGGGCCGGAGGTCACAGGAGGCTTGCCGTGGGAAGGGGTGCCTTGGGCTGTGGGTCACTCACCTCAGCTGGGGTCACAGCTCCATACTGACCCTGGACAGAGAAGCCCTGTGGGGACCAAGTGGGCAAAAGGGATAGCTCAGGGAAGTTTGGCCAGTCTCCCTGGGCCCCCCCCTTCCTTCTTCCATCCCCGCCCCACCGTAAGGCCCCTTCTTCAGTAAAGCTCCCAGCCCCGCTGCCCTCACCTGGTTGGCAGAGAGAAGGACTGTCCCTAGGGAGAGGCTTGGATGGTAGGGGATAGTGGCTCCTTTGGGTGGGGACTGGAAGGCACAAATGCAGAGGCGCTGTCGGGACCTCCCCAAGTGCCCAGGGGCCTTGAGGTCCTCCCTGAGACCCCCCCTAGGAAAATGCATCCCCAGTCCTGGCTCTTGAACTCTCCCCCTGCAGCAGCCCCTGCCCCACCTAGAGTCACAAGCACTGGGTTTGGGGGTGATAACACAGGTCTGGGGCCCATCTTCTGCCCCCTTCCTTGCCCCAGGCAGCACCTCCAGGATCACAGCGCAGATCTGGCGCACACACAGGATGATGGCGTCAGGCACCCCAGACACAGTGACGGCGCGCTCCGTGGAGTTGGGCAGCAGGTCCCCTGCCACCTGCACCTGGGCACCTGTAGTCTGCAAACAGAGACCAGGAGCCACTCTGGCTGCTCCCATAGCCGGAGAAGGGACGCCTGCTCAGAGCTCTCCAGGGGGCCAGTCCCCTCTCACAGCTGGAGGGTGGGCTCTCGGTGGGTGGTGGCCTCCTCACCTCGCGGATCTCCTTGATCTTGGTGCCAGCCTTCCCAATGAGCGAGCCACACTGGCTGGCGGGGATGACAAGGCGCAGGGTCACGGGAGGCCTGGAGACATTGCTGCCATTTGCAGGGGCAGCACAAAGGTCCTGGGGAGGGAGACAGCAGGTCGGCAACGTGCACCCCGCTATTCCTTTGCCCCGCCTCGAAGGGTAGTCCTTTCGCAGTTCGGCTCCAAGGGAACGCTGTCCTGGGCTCGACCTTGCCTCCCGCCCATGGCCACCACCTGGGGTCGGAGCCATGTCCCTCTCGGGACCCACCCTACCCTCTCACCCCTGCCTCCCACCCCGGCCCACCCCAGACCTCGTCCAGCTTGAAGGCGATCATGGAGACGGCGTGGAAGACGGCCGCCGTGGACCCAGTGATGGTGGTGATGCGCTCGGGACAGGACCCCTCGGAGATGGTGATCCGGGCACTGCTCTGTGGGTACAGGACACGTGCCGGGCGCGGGGCACCTTCCCCATCCCTCACCAGGAGCCTGTGCCTGCCCCTCTCACTAGGCCCCAGCCAGGCTGGAACCACCACCCTCCAGGGGACTCACTGCTCCTTCCAGATAGAGGGGTTCACGGAGAAGGGCAAGTAAATCCCTTCCTCCCTCCATGTCGAGGGGCCCTGGACTCCTCCCCCCAAGTCCATCCTCACCTGCTCCCGGATTCGCTTTACGGTCTCTCCTTTCTGCAGGAGGGAAAG